TAGGTCATAATGGGTGTGGCACTTTTGCATTTCATTTTATCACCACTTACTACGTTGTATTAAAAAAACAAAATATATCCCAAGATGCAGTGTGAAAAGCTCTACAATTTACAAAGAACAATTATAAAAAGATGAGGTAGGGAAAACCGAATTTCGTCTTTTACCAAAAAACAATCTCGTTTTCGCAACGTCGAAATTTGGTAGCTCAGAGTTTCGTCTATTTTGAAAACAAAAAGTGCAACTATAAAATAAGCGATTCTTTATAAACTGTAGAGCTTTTCACACTGCATCTTGTGATATATTTTGTTGTTTTAATACAACATAGTAAGTGGTGATAAAATGAAATGCAAAAGTGCCCCATTTTTTATGCCATACCCATTATGATCTAAATGCTATCAGCTGGTTTTCAACAAAAAATAGTTTTTATCGAAATTTTATTATTATGATATTAGTTGAATAGTGATCAAATAGCATAGAAAAATAGAGCGCAAGACGCTCTATCTGTTCATAAAAAAAGGAAAATTTCTCCAAGCCTTCTATACGAAAATAAGGTATCTTGGCCACTACTTTTGGTATGACCTAAGTATTATTCGACGTATAACTTTACAACGTCCTCTGCTTTTAAATATCTTGAAATTCAAGGATCTCGCATTAGACACACTATCAGTACGGAATATTTTAAATTTTTTAGTTTGACGATGCAAGCATTAATGTAACCAGAATATGGTCAATCTCCTTAACTTACAGTACACGACCTTCCATTGTTAGTGTGATAAAAAAATAAGCGCTGGTCAATAATGCAGTTATTTTCCCAAATTTTTCAGAAACTTTAATTCAAGTTTTACTTTGTTATTTGGTAGAGCATATCATCATCTATCTTCAGTGGATGCGCAAAGATACACGTTTGAGCACTTGTTGAGATATAATATCTCAAATGTAACCTTCTATCAAAAAGTGTTGTCAATTTTTATATAGTGATTCCTCATGTTCTAGTCCATAAAGTTTCGAATAGATAAATAAACAGCACATGTACACCAAGTGCAGGTTTTAGATTGACCATTTCATTTTAAAATTGGTTCTTTGACTCCTGCCTAGGAATTAAATATATCAAAAAAAATCATGCATAGGCTTCCTGATAAGGCGTACGCGGCCGAACAAAAAGCTGTCTCCTCTTTACCTTTTTATGAAGTCAAACTTTGTATTAAATGTATTCTGAGTAGAGACATGACATGAGAGTTTTATTTCATTTTAACGTACAGATCATACTGTAATAAAATTCTGATGTCTTATCTTTAATCAGTAATAAATTTGATGCAAAGTATGACAGCATAAAAAGATAAAAGGGAAAAACTTTTGTTCGAGGATGTAAAATGAGTTGTACCATATTTTTATAATTTTTCCGTTCTTTAAATACACCAAATTGCATGATCTTTCAAAATTTCGTTGGAGACAAATAATTTTAGTGGAAGTAAATAATTTTCGTAATAAGAGCTAATAAAGATTACAATATATACTGTGAGTATCGAGAAATTTAGGAGTTAAAGAGAATTACAAAAAAAAATGAAAAACTTCGAAACTCAGTTTAATAAGTTTCAGGACGTATTACGACGCGATTTCAAACTTCGCATAACGCATCTAAACATTGTCTACAACATATCAGAGGGACATTGCTGCAGCTTCCAACATACTATAAAATGACTAAAAGTGTTTCAGCCATTTCGTTTTTTGTGATAAACTTCATAGCGTCAATGAGCTCGTTAGATGTCGCAACCAGATTTGCATGAAGCCTGAACATTTCAATTCGGTGAATTTACTTTAAGATTTGTTAACTCGGATTGGGACATATTTTTTCCACCATCATCTGTACTTTTTCAAAATATTATCTGATGCATAAATAAAAAAGAAAAAAAAAAGGAACTATGTCTTCTGTATAAGCATGTACGTAGCAAAAACTGTCAATTGAACTCGCGTTTTATTTGTGACTAACATCGGTGAATCAGATCATATATGATCGGTATTATGGAAATAAAGTGCAACTGGAACACATTTTCATTAGAGATTATATTGATTTCTAAAATGTTAGATTATCAAGTATGTTCTAATTTGCTCCTTTTATATGCAAAAATCTACTTCTTCTGAGCTGTGTGCATCGCTCGCTTATTAATTTAATTATAATTGGCTACCAAGAGTGTTTTTCCAAGTAATAAACCACTAAAACATGTATTTTTTCTAAAGATCTTTGGCACACCTTAATATTTGCTCCACTATAATCAAACAGTGAAATTTTCCTTACAATTCTCAAGATTCTACTTTTAGGTAATTCCTACATTAAGATGAATATCAAATGAAAACTAAAATGAGATATAATTTGCGCACTTATTATTTTTTGCTGCAAGAATTCAAAAGTTGCAAATGAAGTTAGGGATGCATCAATTCCGCTTTTAACCGATATCGGTTAGAACCGAAACCGAAACCGATCAGAACCGGTTGAAATCGGAACCAGAACCGGCTGACACCATGCACAGAGAAATCGGAAAAGTGAAAAATCCAATGATGATTGATTGAAAGGATAGTGTTTGTGTTTTCTCTCTCTATAACGAGATTTAGAATTTTTACTGCTAACTCCTACGGTCAAAGTCTGTTGTGTGCAATTGTTGAATAGCACTATATTAGTGGCAATACCCTGAACAAACCTTGTATGTGACAAAGTATCAGTGAGTTCGGAGTCATTTGAAGTCGTCTATATCTGGAAAATATAGATCTGCGTTAAATCATGATTCGTATCTCAATGACACGTGACAAGAGTTCACCTACCATTCATCTTTTAATGATTTAGTAGCAGAATAGGTTTTCACTGAGCACATTGAAAACTATCGATTACAGATAGAAATTCATTGAGAGAATGACATCGTTTTTAAACTTTTTCTTATCTGAATGATGAATACCAACTGCTCATTTTTTCATACGAAAGACTTGGTTCCAGTAATTCGATACTATTGCGGAATTGGTCCGAATCGGTATGGAATCGTGGTGTGGGTGGATGTAGTTGTCAGTGTAGGCTGAAAGAAGAGTGACATCTACACCCACACCACCCACAATCACCAAAACAGTCTGAATCCAATCATTTGTCAGATGACGATTTCTTGAATGATTCTATGACTGGATGTTGAGCAGTTATTCGGTAGACTTTGAAGTCTTTTTGAATGTTTAGAAAATATTTTTGTTTATTTTTGTTTTTTTTAGAAAACTACAAGAGTCTGTAAGTGGTTGTGTTAATATCGATTGTTTGTTGCTTTGAGTTAATAGAGTTTAGAGTAGCAATAGAGTCGATATCGGTTTCATCTGTGATGTAGAGAGCGCCTTAATTTGCATAGAGTCATGAAATCTTGTTCTGTAGTTATTCGATTTGGTTGAAGTGTCATCATTGAAAAGTACAAGAAACAGTTTGGAAAATACTCTCAATCAAGTAATGAAGAACAACCTTTCCACGTAGAGCTTAATCCGCCTTCAACATAGGTAGAATGAAACAGGTTTCCTTAAATTAATAGTAGCAACTATATCATGTTTCACATTTAAATATGACAAGAGTTACACTAATAAGGTTTATTGAGGTTTTCAATTTTACTTCTCTGTAGAGGAAGTATCAGGTGAACATTTCATAATTTAAGTTTTCATGCACAATTGATTCAGAGATCGAAAATCTCAACAAATCGATCATGATGATAACTAGGTAAGGCATGAGCCTGAAGTCTATTGATAATTTCAATATGAGTTCGATCAGTATTCAACAGAATTGCTTCGAACCTAGTCAGATTGAAAGATCTGCGATGAATCCAACACACTCTATTGTCTCTTTTTCACATAGGATAAAGAAGTAAACAAGTTACTCATGTCTGATTTATTAAAAATTGAATTTATTTAGGGAAAACCCATAATTGGACATAACATACAGATCGATATGCTACATATAATCGATCAACTTTTTACACCTATACCTCCTGTACGTTGATTGAATTGCATTTTCATATTTAGTGTTTTTCTTTTATTGTATTCGTATGATGAATACAAATCTATCGTTAAATCTTTATTTCCTAAGTAGGTATAATTAATAACTAATCAATATTGAGTTTATTAAATATTGTATTTTTTTGTTAAAGATTAAGCGATATAAAAACAATTGCATTCTCATCAATTTTTCAAGTGAAATCAATGTAAAATCTACGCATATCTAATTTAATTCTTAGAACATCATCTCGAATACAGCATTATATTCTCTTTATAAAACAATTCGTGAACAATCACTACCAAATTGTCGTTTTGGTAAGTAAAAAATAGGAATCTTCTATATGTATATAATATTATTTTTTTTCTGCCTAGAAACTACTGAAAATTTCCACTATGCACTTGGTGAACATGAACATACAGTTAGTTATGATGTTACTTGTACAACTATTTGTATGACTACAATGATGACATATTATTGGTAGAAAAGATTTTAGGAAATCCTTTTCGCTTATTTAACCCTTTGGCTCCCGCCTATTTTTGCGCAGATCAAAGTTTTTAAAATTAATCTTTAAATATGATTTATTGATTTCTTTCTTGGTTTAATGTCGTTTTCTCAGAGTGGTCATAATAGGAATGCATGANGAAAAAAGGCGAAAGGAAAAATGTCGAAAGGAAAGGAAAAGAATAGATAGTCATAAGACGTCGCTATAAAACATTCGCTAAAAATTTCTTATTTAATTGGTTGGTTCATGTCGTTAAAAGTGTTTATTCTTTAAGTGATGCGCATGTAAATATACGAATATAATAGATAAATATCAATCTTCACTGATTAATTAATTTCTCTTTGGTACTTCAGTAATAATGGTTGTGCTGATGGAATTTCGAGTGATGATCGTTAATAGTTAAAGATATACGAATTGCCTTTTGGGTTTTTCAGATATGATGACTACTCCTACTGATAAAATATCATTTATCACATCTCAAAAAGGAAAAAAATGTTGAATATAAACAATTTCATCTTTAAATTGAATAAGACAACGAGTACAACAAAATACCATCGATGTGAAGATTCATGTTGTACTGTTACTGTTCGTACTGATCTTGAAGATACTTTTTTGAACATTAACAGTGATCATTGTCATCCACCTGAGCCAGAAGAAATTCAAATTCGAGTATTCAAACAAGTTGCCAAAGCACGTGCTATAAGTGAAAGTACACCCATTCCACAAGTATATGACGAGGAAGCAGCCGAATCGATTTATCTACATTATCAATTGCTGCTTTGCCATCTCAAAGAGAACTTGGTTAATAAAAACTTTATTTTCTTTCACTTAAAGAATATATTTTTCAGGTAGTACATTAAATAAAGCACGTCGTCTACAAACACCATCTATTCCTAATTCTCAATTATTTGATATACCAGAATCTTATACAAAAACTTTGAAAAAATTACCTTTTCTCTGTATTGATCAGATTATAAAAAGAAAAACCCGAATGCTAGTATTTGCATCAAATGAACAACTGAAATTATTATTCAATAGTTCGGTCATCTTGATGAATGGTACCTTCTCATCATCACCTTCGATTTTCGATCAAGTATATTGCATACATGCAATTAAATTTGAACAATGTGAATATGAATTTTTTTCCTAAATAAATTTTTTAAATACTAGTGTATTTCACAGCGTTTGTTTGCACTTTTGCTCTCTTACCTGATCGAAAAAACATACGTACAAATATTTATTTCATGAATTACATAATAAAGCTGCTCAATTAAATATGACTTTTAATCCATGTACTATTATGTCAGATTTTGAAAGAACATTAGCTGAAATACTTAAAATTGAAGTACGTATTACTTTAGTTTAATTTGAACAAATACTATTGTGTTATCTTGCTAGTTTCCTAATAGTCAACATGTGGGCTGTTTCTTCCACTATACACAGGCGATCTATTGAAACATCCAACAACTTGGTTTATCTTCTGAATATGTTGCTGATGATGAATTTCGAAATACTTGTCGAAAACTTATGGCGCTTGCTTTAGTGCCTGTTCCATTAGTTCTACAACCATATGATGATCTTCATGATTCAGTTCTTGAATCATCATCGAAAAAATTTGATTGACTTAAACCTCTTTTTAGTTATTTTGAGAATCAATGGATCAAAAATGTAGGTATTCAAAGATGGAATGTTTATGGAATACATATGCGAACGAATAACAATGCTGAAGGTGTGAAACATTATATAATATTAATATGTTGCTGTTTTTCATAAGCTTGCAGGTAACAACAATCGTCTTAATTTACGCATATCTAAATATCATCCGAACATATGGGCTTTCATAAGATGTATTCAAGGTGAAGCAAATAGATTTAATCATTTATTAATTCAAATGAAAGGTGGTCTCACAGCTCGACCAAAAACAAAGAAAACCCTTGCTATTCAACATCGAATTGATACATTATATATTCGTTATGATAATGGTGATATTAATGCTAATGAACTTCTCGATGGATTATCTTTTGTTGTCGCTAAAAATATTAAATCAAAAAGAAAATGACGACTCATTATCATATGTGAAGTGGCATTTAGTCTTAGTCTTTATCATATTTTATAGTTATTTCTCATCTATCGAATAAAATTTATCACTTTATATATATATATCATGTCTTATTTAGACATTTTAATTTTCGATATTTTTCCTCTTCGCTATTTTTCCATTCGCTATTTTTTCTTTTGTATATTTTCTTTTCTACATTTTTCTTCTACATTTTTCCTTTCTTTCTTTTTCCATCCATTCTATCTTGATTGGTACTTACGAGTTTTGTTCTCTTTCGATGAGTCATTATAAACTTGAGTAAAGAATGATAACTATTGCGTAAGTGTTGCACATGCTATGCATCGAAGCAATAAAATGAAAGTCAATTCTTTTTATGCAATAGAAACATGACATTTCTACCACCAACTGAAGAACAAATCGCAGAAGCACTTGGTGATACTACACAGGTTCGTTCATTGAATTCATGTGATTTTTTTTAGTGTTGCTTGTATTCACATCATAAACCATTGTTTAGTTAGCGGCAGACATTCAAAAAGCTCTAACAAATGGGATCAATGAAAGTTTTGAGTCAATACCAGAGCCTGATTACTGGGGATGGTTAAATCAACGCAAAGAATGTGGGCAAACATTTAATTCATTCGAACAGATTGCTTCCAAAGCAATTCCTCATTCAACGTAAGTATTATCCATTTCAAAAAGAAAAAGATGAGCATTTTTTGTAATAACTGACAATTGATTACGGCTAACGATCTGAAGTTTCTACTTGTAGAGAGTACTAAAAACTCGACAGTTTCATGTTAGTTATGATAGCTGAGCTAGTCAATCATTTGTCAAACTTTTCTTGGATTGTTCGGTCCAGTGGCGCAACCAGGAGTACGACCATTGGATAATTATCCAACTATTTAAACTTAATTGCCGATAGATTTTTTGAAATGATACCAATTCTCCGATGTCGAAAACTCTTGATACATATACACGTACAAAGATCTAAGTGACATCACCTGAATACATTATATCTTGTCGTGATTTTATCAAGTACTTCAGAAAAATCAACTGAATATTTGTTCCATTAAACCGATGTTCACAATTGTTACAGTTTAATCGTATTTTTTGTCAAAACACTTGTTATTTCATTTAAATTTACTACTGGTTCTATTTGTACTTAATTATACTTTTTGGCCTAATGCATTCAAATATTTGAAAGTTAATGAGTACATTTGTGAAACAGTCCAAGGAAAGCTGTTAGTGCAATTTCTGCAGGATTATAATGTGAAAAATGATGTAGCTGTTGTTGATAATCACCGGGATATTGTTTTATTCAATCTATCTTGGGACCCATGTCTTCATCATCTTTTACTTAATCCTCTAGAACTGCAAGAAGGAAGTATTTCATATATTCTTATGAGGTGCTAGTGATCTATGATCGCCAATCGTGTATCAAAAACGTCTGTGAAGGAGCACGGCGGACAGTCAGGCGACAATATCAATTTTCGAGATTTGAGTCTATATCATAGCTGGCATTGAATCTACTATGGTGCTTCATTTAAGTGCATCTTGGATGGTGCTTTATAGTGAGTGTCTGTTAAGCGGCAGGCACTACAAAATACATAAAATTGGTGAATATCATTAATAGAATCATATAAGTAAATTGTATGCTTTAAAGTGAGGATGTAATTATAATAATTATTTATTATATAGTTATAGTGTTATGTATTTACTATATATTACAGGCCATTTGGGCTTCTTGAAGTTCTTTAGGGTATAATAAGATTTAAAACTTACACTCAGTATAGTAAAAAAATAAACACTGGTCAATAATGCAGGTTTTTTTTGCGAATTTTCTCGGAACTTTAATTTAAGTTTTAATTTGTTATTTGGTAGAGCATGTCATCATCTATCTTCAGTGGATGATAAAAAATGCGCGTTTAAAATCTTGTAGAGATAGTGTCTCAAATATAATCTTCTATCAAAATTTGTTGGCAATTTTTATAGTGATCACTCATGTTCTAGTCCATCAAGTTTTGAATAGATAAATAAACAACACACGTACATCAACTTCAGGTTTTAGATTGGACATTTCATTTTAAAATCGGCTCTTTTCATCCTTATTTAGGAATTAAATATATGAAAAAAATAATGTATAAGTTTCCTAGTAAGACGTACACTTTCAGACAAAAATTTATCTCTCTTTTTTTTTATGATGTCAACCTTTGTGTTAAATTTATTACTGAGTAGAGATATGATATCAAAGTTTTATTTCATTGTACTGGACAGATCACACTAATGAAACTGTCATGTCATATCTCTACTCAGTAATAAATTCGATGCAAAGTGTGGTAGCATAAAAAGATAAAAATGGAGAAAAGACTTTTGTCCAAGGTTGTAAATGATTTGTTTCATTCTTTTATAATTTTTACGTTTGTAAAAATACATGGAGTTGCATGATCTTTCTAAATTTTGTCCGAGACAGATAATGTTAATGGAAGTGAATAATTTTCGTAATAAGAGCTAACAAAGATTGCGATACATACTATGAATATTGAGAAATTTAGGTTTTAAATAGAACTTCAGAAAATATGAAAAACTCGGAAACTCATTTTAATACGTTTCAGGATATATTGCAGAACGATTTATAACCTTAAATAACATTTATAAAAATTTTCCACAATATATCAGAGAGACATTGCTGAAACTCGCGAAATAGTATAAACTGACCAGGAGTATTTCTGTTATTTTGTTTTTTTGTGATAAACTTCATAGCATCAGTAAGCTCATTTCAATGTCACGACTAGACTTGTGTCAAAGCTGAACAATTGAATTCGATGAATTTTCTTCAATATTTATTGACTCGACTTTGGGCACTTCTTTTTCCATCCTCATCTGTACATTTTCAAAATATAATCTGATGCATATATACAAATTTTAAACAAGAAACTGGGTCTTCTATGTTTTAGGATGTCTCTCTTATATGCAAAACTCTAGTTCTTCTGAGTTGTATGCATTCGTCTGCTTACTAATTCATTTATAAATTGCTATCAAGAGAGTTTTCCCAAGTAGTAAACTATTAAAACACATACTTTTTCTACAGATATTTGACATATACGTATATGTGTGCTCCACTATAACCAAACAGTGAACTTTTCGTCAAAGGTCTTAAGATTTTACATTTAAGTAATTCACATATTAAAATAAATATCGAATGGAAACTATAAAATGATGTCTAATTTGCATCCTTAGTTTTTTTTTCTGCAAGAATTTAAAAGTTGGAAACAAATTATTGGTGATAACCTGCTTCAGGCTTTTGAAGAGTAATTAGTCCATGACAGATTTATATAATATATAGTTAATAACTGTATCAAAAATATGAAAACAAATATTGTTGTTTCATTTTTGCTAAAAAACATTATAATGGAGCAACTACTTTTTATTGTGCTAATTTGCAGTTTTTGACAGTCAAAAGCTTCATTTTCCAGGAGTCTTTCAATGAAAGGAGGTTGAGTAAGCGTAGATAATCACTATGAAGTACCAACTATATGTACACAAAATGTTAAGTTATTAACTGCAATCATAAAAAGAATTGCTCCTGGTCCTCTTTTTCTGTCCACTGTGGGGGGGGGGGGGGGGGGGGCGCGAATTCACCCCCCCATAACCCGCCGCCCCTTCTTCTCAACCCTTTTTTATAAAAACAAGGGGCCCCCCCCCATGTGGC